TATATTGAAAAGGGCAGGAGTGCTTACACGTGCTGTGTAACCTCATGGCTTGTTGAAACTTGCTTACCGTGAAATGATGCTCCCGGGGCGGCCACTCGAACTCCATTGACTGAACTTTCACCTTCAATGGTTCATAGAGGTGCAATTGGCTTTGTTGGAGTTCCATTGCGCCTTCCACGACGGGGACATTCCACTCCTGTGCGATCAGGTCTCTCTTATCATCAGGAACGTACGCCCTTGCACAGCCCAATTCGAAGGATAATTCGCACTGCTCCGTACACAACGTTGTCCTTCCAACGGAGATACTGTTTATAGAGTAGTTCAGTTTGGCATAAGTGACCCAGATTTAGCGAATATACACTCATTTGCACGCTAATTTGGTTTTTCAGAGAGACTCACCTAGAACCCAGCTGAATCTCCCGGTTTTGATATTTCCGGGCAACTGAATGTGCTGTATCAGGCAGCCTCATTTTTCAGTCGCTACGATATTCGAGATATCGCAATACATATATATTTTCTAATGCACTACTCACATGGTTGCTGAAAACTCCTCGACAGCCCACGACCGGTTTCGCCCTTCTTCTTGGGGCTAATCAGGTAGGGTAGGCGTATGGGTTTCCGTCAAACTTATGTTCTACTTGAGATCAAGTTACACAAAATTAGCGAATGTACTTTCATTTACAAACTAATTTAGTTTTTTTTCGAGGGACTCACCCACAGTCCGGGTGAATCTCTCGGTTTCGATGTTTCCAGGCCCGGATTTAACTATCCATCAAATGGCATTTACCACTAGTCATCCTATACTCTCGTTTAATCAAACTGGGCGTAAGCATTGAAGTTTCAGTGCTAAGAAAAATCTTTCAACGCATACTCTATTTCCTGACGATTTAGAACACATATGAGTGATAACTTTACCAGGTGAATAACTGAAACAAGAAATTCGGGAAGCCCTTCAGCGAAAGCACGATTACTAGAACGAAACAACGTGAATCTGATCGAACACTTCCTGGGGATTCCTTGTGGTTAGACTGTATGAATTGGTTCGTGCGGGACAGCGATACGATACGCCATAAAGGCCATCATTACCAGGCGCCTTAATCCTAGTCAATCCCAGCAAAACATTTGTAATCTGGCAACTCACGAATCAACGTATATTGACCAACGATCGTCTGAGACGCGATTGAACGCAACCGCACCAGCTGGAAGATTTTCTCGCAAAGATTGGGTATACCGCACCTTTGCCTGTTTCAAACTGAAAAAAACAACAATTGAAGCCTGGGAGCTTAAAAATACGTTTTTGAAAATTATATGTGTATGCAAGGAGAACGCGACTGAATCTACGTAAACCTTGTAATTAGACAGAATTAGAATCGGGCACTAAAATCACATCGCTCAATTGTGAACCCGTCCGCCTGTTCAGAAGTGTGATATTCAGATACGTCCAACGTAGAGCAGCGTTTACACGCTCGCCTCGCATGTCAGATGTCCGGGGTTCAAATCCCGGCACGGCCATTGGATATGCACTGCTGATGAGCTCTAATAAGGGCGAAACTCGAGTCCAGTGCTTCCCTTTGGTGTGGACTCACCGGAATAATTATTAACTAATAAACAGCCACACGACCGCTCAAACGAGGGTGGTGTGACAATGAACAGAATAAGAATCACTGCGGACCTTGCGCAAATTGATCCTGAAACGCGTAAATACGTGTCAAGCTCGTAAACATTACTATAGAATAGAGTAATTCCCGGTTTTCGTGATCGAGTACCTGTTGTAGCTGATCAAAACTTGATGACTTCGTCTCACGGTGTGGGTTTGTGCGACATACGACATTCCACCGGTTCCTCCGGGACCAAAGCCAATCACTCCGTTTATGCGATCCAGGAATTTCATTCTCTGATTTGAACTCTTTACGAACAGGAATTTGAATTGCTCCACTTTTCCCCGATGGCCCACCTTCAACCAAGTAGTTAGAAATGGTTCTCTTTCCTCACCTGAAGCCTCGCCTCACACCAGTCACCAGTGAGCTCGTATCTGCTGTATTGATAACACTCGTTTTCCCTCAAGACTCTCAGCCCAGTAAACCCGGGTATGGCTGGCAAACCGTACTGACTGAGAAGCTCGTTTGAAGCGATCCAACTGAACGATAAACTTGTGTCCAACATCACTTTCTTTTCCACAGCCGAGTCCCCCATTCTTATGGAGGCAACAAGCAATGACTGAAGTGGATCAATGACGAAACCACCTGAGGCTTACATATTCGGTAGCGGTTAAATCCACTGTGAAATCTGTTCTTTTCAATCGCTGTAACGACTGTTGAAAATCCTCTTGAGCACTTTTATTGTTTGCATACAAAGGGATGCTTTATCGATTTTGCTAAATTCTAGAATTTTTTAAACTTACAACTTATTTCCGGAGGCATCATTCGCATAGATGAACAAAACCAAACTGAGGGTAACGATCGACATACTGGGCCGTGAAATTTCATGAACACAACTTTAGCTTATATAGCTACCTACTCGTACTGACTGAAACGAATGAAACGAATGTCTACTTTCTAGTTTGAGGAATTAGCATTATTGCCGAATCAACCGACCCGTCCTCGTACAATGCCTTGTGGCAAGCAACACAGTGACCTTCACAAAACTATGGATTTTATTTCGATCAAACTCATTCACTAGGTAATGATAGAGTATCCAGATCGAAGGAAGTATTCCTTAGTATGTTCATATCTGCCTGAAAGCCGCATTCATACTTTCACTTTTATTCTGTAACTCCGTGAACCCTCATCTTGGCTCTTCTGTGAAATGTCTGCTCACCCATAAGCCTCCTGGTCATGTGTTCCCTCCCCACTGACTTCCTTCCACCTGCACAGGACGCTCTGAAGTCATCAAGCTGTGTTCTTCCAACACACAGCAGATTTGTAGTTTTAGGAGATACGTCAGCGCATGTGCGTGCGAGACAAAAGCGACGTGGAGCTGCGGACGGACGGGAGCACTAAACGCAACATCCATCTCAAAAAGCTCCAAGATTGGGTGAAGCAAATGCTTACACTCGGGTGACCGAAACTGGCACTTGGGTCACGACGTTTGAATACGTTTGAATACCTAACACGGTGTGTTGCCATTTCAATTACAACCACGAAGCCAACGGCCTCGTCACCAATTCTCTTAGTTGTAATGAATCGGTCATTAGAGTTTATTGGCAGTAACACATCCGGACAGGTAGGTGGAAAAAGGTAAAGCCGCTGGTGCTATGCGTTTGAGAGCAGGCTGTTTCATCACTTGTGTGTGTGCAGAAAACAAATGCAGGTGTAACGGTGGATACTACTGATGAGGCATGCTAGTAGTGTCTTCTCGTAAATCTG